GGGGACCGGCAACGGGATTGCAACCCTCGGTGTTGCTCCCGCGCCTCGCTCAGCCAGTGAGCGGGAACCGGTCTGTATGTGGGATCCGAACCCTCGGGCGGGAGCGCCGCCGCGCTTCCCAAGCGGCGCACTTATCCAGTGCACCACCAGGCCGGCCCTATTAAGTGTTTTTGAGTGAACAAATGAGACTTAAAGAGAAAGGGAAGGAGGTGAAAGGAAGAGCTGTTCTTTGAACACCTACTATGTGCTGGACATTGAACTAAGCACTTTATAATCATTTCCTCTTTTCCATCACAGGACTAGGAGGTGAAATTTTCATCTCCATTTTACAAATAAAAAAAGCTGAGGCTAAGACAGCTGAGGGATTTGTCTTTTGTCCCACAGAATTCTCAGGGATTCATTAATCCATTCATTTCTTCATCCATTCCTTCAAGGCATTTGACCTGAGCAGCAGGAGATTGAGGGGTGAGGAGCAGATTGGGGGGGCCAGAAGTTTCTATCAGGCAACCACTCAGCCATTGGACACACATGTCTGGACTGTAGGTGGCATTTAATGCCATGCTCTTGGACAGGTTCACCTAGGGGACAGATGGGTGTGATCTTTAGGGTCATGAGGTGGACCTCTGGCCGGATGTTCTGTCCTGCTGCAGCCTGGGCTGTCCCTAGACTTGTGTTCTCTGGCTTCCTGGGAGACAGAGGTGGGTGCGGGCTGTCCGCCCCATCCATCTCTCATGTAATCAGGTTGAGTGGATATCAGCCACATGGCAAATCTTGGCTGGTGACTACCTGTCACACTGGGGAACTTAAGTGGACACTTGCCATGACCCCAACAGTGCCACTTACAGCAGTTTACAAAGCACCTGCACCATGTGAGCCCATCTGCTCTGATGCACAGTTATCCTGCTGGCACTGAGCATGCCGTGACAAAACAGCTATGCATCCCACCTCCTGAGTGTGTGCAGTTGGGGCCCATGTGGGCCACCAAGGAGGAGCTTGACTTGAGAGAGGGGTTTCAGGCTGGGCTCAGCTCTGTCACTCCCTCACCCCAGGAGCTTGAGCAGTCACATCACCTCTCTGAGCCTCAGGTTCCACATCCTTAGGTGGCACAATAACACTAGTCCACAGGGTCTCTGTGTGGTAGCCGGTGGGGCTTGTGGTTGCCTGTGGAGCACTTGTAACAAGGCCTCAGAAGAACAAGATGGAAGATGCATCCTAGGGTCACAGCTCCAGGGGCTGGTCCTCCGGGGGAGGCAGAGATGGGGTCAGTCCCCGTTGTACCCCAGAACCTGCCCAGCACAGCACATGGCACCCACGAGGGAAAGTGCATATTTTTATGAATGAAGGAAATTAGGGATGATCTTGTCCAGGGTTTCCCAGACAGCATTGTCCCCAGATTTTACGCTATCCATGTGCCAACTGGACTGCTCTCTGCCTGCCACAGTCTTCATCCCAAGCACTTCCATCTGCCTTGGGCTTCTCCTTGGCAAGACCGGGAAGTCATGGTCATATTTGTTATCATGTACATTTCAGCCAATATGGTTCTTAAAAATCACTTATCCATCTATCAGACCAACCCCTCTTATGACACTTTGCCCGAGAGTAAATGGAGCTTCAGGATGAGGAAGCCACTCTGGCACATGCCTAGTCTTCAATGGCCTCTCCACCATCACAGACAGTCCCCCACCCCAAGCTGGCCCCCTGCCCTTCTCAACCTGCCTCCCTCCCATTTGCTTCACCTCCACCAGGGACCAGGTCCACCGGGTGGCCCCAGGTGGAGCCAGGTGACAGGAGAAATCCATTAGCAGATCTGAGTGACACAGGTCCCCGCAGATGCGCGGTGAGGCGGGAGGCAGCAGGGATTCCCTTGAAGTCCATTGCTAGTGCAAACTCTGGAGCACCAGCATCAATCGCTCTGACCCTAGGTAAAGAGCTTTCCACTTCGAGGTGAAGTGTTGATTCAGGCTTTTGTGAATAGACCATTTATAAGCTCCATGGAAGGGAGGTCTCCTGCCTGACACATTTCTCTTTCCTGAATAAAGGCAGACATTGTTCCCTCTAATAAGAGGTCCTCAGCCTGGCAGACAGAATTTTACTCTGGCAATCCATCATTTGTAAAGTGGGGTATGACACCTGGCTCGCTGGCTCACTCACGCACTCACTCATTCACTCACTCACTCACTCATTCACTCACTCACTGATTCACTCACTCACTCACTCACTCACTCACTCATTCACTCACTCACTCACTCACTGACTCATTCACTCACTCATTCACTCACTCACTCACTCACTCACTCACTCATTCACTCACTCACTGATTCACTCACTCACTCACTCATTCACTCACTCAGTCACTCACTCATTCACTCACTCACTCACTCATTCACTCACTCACTCACTCACACTCATTCACTCACTCACTCACTCATCCACTCCTTTACTCACTCACTCATTCACACATCCATTCATTCACCTTCTCTGTAAATTCATTCATTCACCATTCTCATTCCCTTGGTCCCATGCTCTCACCACTATTCCACAGCCATTTCTCATGTGTCTGAGCAGTCTCTGGAGTAGACACCAGAGCATAGTGGGTGTGAGGCCTGGTCCCTGGCCGAGAGACTCTTGATCGGGAGTTTTTGAGACTCTGCCTTTACAACACCTCTGGTAGAGCTGAGCTCCCTGGAGGGAGTGACAAGTGTTGACCTATATACCTTCTTTTTTGTTGAGGTCCCCAAATGCAGTACTTGGGGAAGGCCCAGGAACTCTGTTTAGAGACAGCAGGCACATGAGCTGCCCCATGGGCAGGCAGCCTCGGAGACAGTGGGGACCTTGGGAATGTGGAGAATTGGTTTGCACTCCTCTTGGTGCTGAAGGACACTCTGAAGCAAATGGTTCTGATGAGCCTCAAAGGCACCGTAGCCAAGGCTGTGACGGATGACCCCCCTTCCTTCTTCTACTGACGGGGCTCTGCCCCGCACGTGCCCCACACCTGGGGCAGGCATTGGGTGAGCTCAGGCACAAATGGGGAAGCAGACCCCAAAACCCTGGTAAAGCGCAGATGGCAGAATGGTCAACAACTTGACTGCCAGCTGGAGTCACACTCCAGCCAAAGCCAGGGCTGCAGCTCAGGGGCAGCATGACCTACACAAGAGCCCAAGCCTCCCCGAGCCTCAGTTTCCCCCTCTGTAACATGAGGAGAAAACCACCAGAGGCTGCTGTGGGGATTCCATAAGACGATGCGTTCAGACCCTCAGCCCACTGCCTGGTGGACGGTCAGTGTTCAAAACGTGGCAGCTGTGGGTGGCCACTAGTACGGCTTTGCTGTGGAGCCGCTGAAGACTGACGGAAGAGCCCAGCACACAGCAGGTATCAGAGCACCCGGGTGCTGCCTCCGTGCCCGCCCCCTGCAAGGCCACCCTAATGAGCTCGCTTGTCATGTAGCTTTGCAAAACGTTAATGAGTCCGAGCTTCAGACAGAACGTGGGGCTTTTGCAATTTCCGCTGTCAGTTCAAGGACAAAGAGCTCTGTGGAAATGCTGTCAAAACAGCATTATTCACTACTTACAATGGGGGAGCCCCATCACCGGGCTGTCACCACATTCCAGGAGGGGCTCTGGGGCTCTGAGCGGCCAAGCGTCTGGTGTGATTATCTCTCATGCATAACAACTCTGAGCAATTTGGGAAACTTGGGGGAAGAAATAATTTGATTTTCCTGAGATAATAACATGTTTGGATTATAGCCAATCTCCTTTTCGGGATCTGTGGGCTGGTTTCGCTCCCTGGCTGGAGAGGTCTCTGTGAGGCTGGGATGCTGCCTCGGCCTGGCCTGGGACTGGACACAGCGTTGCAGAGCTTGGCCAGTTCTCTAGGCCAGCAGCTTAGAAATGCCCCCTCTTGCCCCGCTCGCCATCTCCTGTGAGCCTGGGGGCCCAGACGTCCCAGGGCTGGGCAGCTCCTGCTCCTGACAGCTGACATCAGTGGTGAGGCCAGTGATTGAGGGCAGTGCTCTGGTTTTGAGGAAGGAACTGGGCCCTCCCATGGGTGGCCTGTGGAGAAGTGGCCATCAATCCTCCCCAGAAGTAAAGGGCACATACATCAGGAGTCAGTGTTCCAGAGGAGAGACAAGGACTGCCCTTCAGCCTGTGGGACTAGTCAGGAAGCAGTCCCTGGCACGATTAGCATGAAGTTACACATGCAGTGAGGAGAGGGAAGGGGGGTGTTGCACAGTGCCCTCTGCTGGGGACAGGCCTGTGCCCCAGCTAGGAGGCCCGTGTAGCAGTTGAGACAAGAACAAGAAAGGATATGCCTGTGCACACGGATGTGCATGAGCATGCACAAACAAGATTTGTGCGGTGGGAGGAACGCACACAGAGCTGTGCACATCTCAAAGGCAGTTTAGTCAGGAGAACGGATTGCAGTCGCAGCAGGGGTAGGTGGCCAGCTCCCGTCTGCTGCCCGGGACCTCAGCAAATGCTCATTCTCCAGGGGTCTCACTTTCTGCATCCCACAAACACTTCTTGAGCATGGGAGCATTGCTCTTTGGTGCCACGAGACTAGAATGTGGCCCCAAGAGGCTGTTGAGAAGCTCTCATGAGATCCCACAAATGAGGAGCCAGCACCACAGTCCTCAGGCTTGGCCTTTGCCTGGGATGTGAGCCCCCACCCCGCCTGCCTTCACCCCCTTTGCCTGGGCTTGGCTCATCTGCAGGTGGGGTGAAGGGCATGTCCCTGCACTTACCCCGCTCATTGGCACCCAGCAGGGCAGAGCAGGGTCACTCACTGGGCTGCATGCGAGAGGGGCAGGAGAGCAGGGCCAAGGAAGCCGTGGGGCCGAGGAGACTGCACGGGGGAGGGAAGTGAGGAGCAGTGGGCCACTGTGTGCCAGGGGCCTTCTGTACACGAGCACCTCTTCCCAGGCAGGAAGAAGCCGAGGCTCAGGCAGGGAAGCTCACGTGCACAGAGCTGCACAGCCGGGTCACAGGGGACGCCAGGCCCTGGACACGTAACCGTGTCCCATACTGCCATGAGGAGGGAGGGGGCTGGGGATGGAGACAGAAGAGGGGGACCCCCTGAGGAGCTGCCTTTGCTCTTGCCAGGCTCCCGAGGCCTGGTGGGAGAGCTCTCACCAGAACACCTGGTCTTTGGTCACTCGCTCCTGCAGAAGCGTCCACTTCTTCCCCAGGTCAGATGACACATAGAGCTGTAGGGCAGAAAAAAGAGAAAACAGAAGTGTTCATGACGAGGGCACGAGCTACTTCTGAGAGAGTGATCTCCCGCTAGCATGAACTTCCCAGGGGAAGGCAGTCTCATCCAACAGACGCGCAGAGGCCCTGCACACACACGGCAGGGACAGACCAACCCCCGAGAGGCTGAAGTCAGGTGAGGACTCCACAAAGAGCCATTTCTGCCCCAGGCCAGCTGGCAGGAGCCAGGAGAGAAGGTTCTCCAGGGTGAAGTCCAAGGAGGCCTGCCAGAGGAGGTGTGTCTGAGCCGTGAAGTCCAGGAGGGACTTTGCAATACCCGCATGAGGGGTGGGCAGAAGGGGACAGAGAGCATCCAGGAGGAGGGAGCAGCACGTGCAGAGGCTGCAGGAATGAGGGGGTCAGAGCGGAAACAGCAGCAGCCCCTGGTAGGAGCAGGTCCACTGCAGGCTCTGCACAGGCTGGCTGGGGTCTGAATCCAGGGCCGGCCTCACCCGCGTGACCTTGCTCAGAAGTGCCCCACACTCAGGGTTTAATGCTCTGTAGTCGTCGACCTGAACTTCTTAAATATGTGACCTTTGGCTCTGAGTTTTGTGAGTGAATTCTGATGGGACACTAGAGGATCTCTCCCTCATGAGGTCCTGCCTGCTGCAGGCTCCCAGGATAGGTTCTCTTGCTCCTGTCTCCACCCAGCACCCCCTGCTGTCCTGGGCCCAGGCCTGGGGAGGGTCAGGGTGGGCACCCTGTGAACTGAGGCAGGCCTGGGGCCCAGGAAGGTCTACACTTGCCCTGCACGTGTCTGTGTCTGCAATGGAGTCCGATGTTAAATAGCTCATATAGACACCACAACAGGTGAAGAGAGAGACCACAGAAGAACAGGAAAGGATTTGTCCTGACTTTTAAACAATTTTCATTTCGCAGAATCCTGCAAATTGTGCAGCCAGCCCTGCCTGAAACCACCCACTGAGGCTGGATGAGATGTGTGCAGCACAGGAGGGCTGCAGGCAGGCTGGCGTGTTATGGCTGCTGTGTGGTGGAGGCAGGGAGTCCCTGAGGAGGCCGGGCCTGGATGCAGCCAGGGGCAGTCATCGGGGAAGAGGAGAGGGCTCAGAGAGAGACTGGCTGAGGGAGCTACACAGGCCCTGGGAGGAGTGCACGGGGCCTGGTCTGTGCCCAGAGCTCTGGCCTGGGGATCTCGGGTGAGGACAGACCTTGATCAGGCAGGGTGAGTTTTGGAAATGCCAAGTGGAAGTTGCCAGGGACACAGGGCATGACCTAACACTGCTCCTCCCATGATCACCTGTGGGAGGGGCCGCATCCTCCTTCACAGATGGGACCATCCTGAGAGGGACCCAAGATCTGCTCAGGCAGGGGGAGCCAGCTCTCGGGGATTGGGGGGAGGGGGAGAGACATCCCTCTGTGCTGCACCAACGCCACCATGCCAGGAGGGGGACTTAATAGCTCCAATCTCCAAGTGAGAAAACTGGAGATGGGGTGCAGGACACGCGGCTCCAAATACGACCCCCTGGCATCTGAGCGAATGACAGAAGTGCGAAGCTCACTCCTCCCTGCCCCTCGCCTTCTTCCCTATAGCAGGTCACAAGCCTAGGAAGGTCACTCTCTGACCTTCTCCCCTGAAGACCCTCACGTGACAGATGTCCTGCCCCATATCTGGAGGGGAGGGGTGTCACGCAGGAACGCCAAGGAGAATGTGACATTCTTCCGCCCCCGCCAGTTTATGACCCTTAGATTACACTTCCCCACGACTGTCCGCTCTTCACCAAACTAAGTGTTCCATCCACAGACCTCCCTGTCTCTTGGGATCTTCATTTCCAAGGCTCCTGTGTTGCCTAAAACTTGTATTAAACGCTCGTCAATTTGTTATGGCTTTCTCTTGCTAATCTGTCTTTTGTTATAGGGGTGTCAGCTGTGAGCCAAGAGACAGCTGGATTCTCATCAGACATAGGGGAGCAGGGTGGGACCCGGCAGGACACGCAGAGGCTGGAGGTCACGGAGGGGCCCACGCCTTGGCCACAGGGCTCTTGGCCATGCAGTCCCCTTCATCCACAGCCTGTTCTCACGTAAAGCTGCCTTCCCTTTTTTGCCCAGCCAGCCCTTCCGACGCCTTGGTGAGCAATTCCCTGTGTTAGTTTCCGTCTGCACAGGTTCCTGTTTCTTCATGGACACCGACTGCTCCTTGGCCTCAGCCAGCATCCGAGGGCAGGGGGTGTCTGCAGCGGAGGCAGGGGGAGCCGTTCCAGGTGGAGGCCCCGCAGCAGGGGTGCCCCGTGTGCAGCTGGGCCTCAGGCAGCGTGAAGGCCAGTGTCACGGGCAGGCTGGCCCCCTGGTGCTGGAGGACGGGGCAGAGCTCCAACTTCATCTTCCAGGGGTGGGAGTCAGGGAAGAGCCTCAAGCCTCACGAGCTTCCTTCACGGGCAGGTCCTCTGTCCGCTCTGGGGGAGGTGAGTGGGATGGCGGAGGGCCCTGCTGGAGGCAGTCTGGCCTCTCCCCTCTCCTCTGAATGACCAGGACAATCTCCTAACGGCAATGCCAGGACACCTGATACCATGACCTCCAACGGTGGAGCTAGACAGACCTGGGCTCAAATCACTGCCTGCAGCGGGTGACCTGGGCAAGCCTCAGTTTCCCTCAGCTGTAGAATGGGATGACAGTCCTCATTCGGCAGGTCAGGACAATTCGGCTGGATCACTTGGGTCAAGTCTAGTGTGTGCCGGACATGCAACGAATCCACGACACATTTCCCCATTGCCATCTTGGAAAATGGGGACATCTCTGTCCCTGGCCCCTCCTCATTTCGTTTTTGCTCCGTGCGCTCGCCCACATTTCCATACGTCTCATTCCCAGCCCTCTCAGTGGTGACTAAGCACAGACACAGGTGTGGTGATTCTGTAACTGATGTCCCCAGTTCACCTTTCATTTTGTCATTTTGTGGGGTTTGGCCAGCTTCCCCTCTCAGTGGGTGGGACGTATGGAAACAGTAAAGCCTCCACTCCATTCCTGAGAGGAGGGTGGGCCACATGGGTGCGTGGGGAGCCTTTGGACCCTTGTAGCATTGCGCACATTGAAGTCCTGTGTTACACGAACTAAACTCAGCGCACAATGTGCTTTGCTGCAGAGACGGGCCCGGGCCGGGCACGTTCTCCAGCACCCCAGAGGTGGTGGGGTGACCACCTCGGCTGACCGAGGAAGGCGGGTTGTGCAGAGAAGAGGAGAGGAGGGCTGGGCAGGGAAGCAAAGACTGGCTCTGTTTCTGCCTCTCAGTGGCCGCTACGGCATTTCCTTGCCTCAGTTTCCCCACCTACAAAATGATGCCCACAGCCACAACATTTCAAAGGAGAGAGTCTGATTCTGGAGATCTTTCTGATCCAGCAGGCCTGGCTCCTATCAGATTCCACTGTACAGAGCTGTGTGACCTTGCATGTGTTCCAAAGCTGTTCTAAGCCTCAGTTTCCCCACTTTTTGAAGCCAGAATCTGGATTCCTGCTTTCAAGGGATGTTGCGGGATTATTCCAGGCACTGCTGCAAAGTGGTTGCAATGTTACGCACTCAACCAACAACATCAGTGTCAGTGTCACTCCCGCAGGGATATGCTCAAGGGCAGGATCCGTTCTGCCTGTCGCACGTGCGAGCCCCGCCCCTGGCCATGCACCCTTGAGGTCTCTGGGAAGTGGGCACGTCTGTCAATCTGATGGCGGTGGAGTGGTTTGCCCGGGGCTGTGCCCTGTCAGAACCTGGATTGGAACCGTCTGTGATTTGAACCGTCCCTTCCCTTCCCTTGATCAGGCTGTGTCTGGAATGATCTGGTTCAGGAGAACAATTTCCATCACCAGCCCTCGAAAGGGAGGAGGGCTCAAGCCAGCCTCTCACGCGGGGTCCGGCGGCCCTGTCCTCGCAGTCTGCACAGTGCACACAGCAGCCGTGCTGATGGCCCCGGGGCCAGGAACCCCATCTGCTGAGGGGCCAGCTTTGCTCCGTTTTGTTCACCGCTGTAGCTCCAGCTCCTGCGACAGTGCGGCACATAGAGGGCCTCTGGCACTCCTGCGACAGTGCAGGCACATAGAGGGCCTCTGGCACTCCTGCGACAGTGCAGGCACATAGAGGGCCTCTGGCACTCCTGCGACAGTGCAGGCACATAGAGGGCCTCTGGCACTCCTGCGACAGTGCAGGCACATAGAGGGCCTCTGGCACTCCTGCGACAGTGCAGGCACATAGAGGGCCTCTGGCACTCCTGCGACAGTGCAGGCACATAGAGGGCCTCTGGCACTCCTGCGACAGTGCAGGCACATAGAGGGCCTCTGGCACTCCTGCGACAGTGCAGGCACATAGAGGGCCTCTGGCACTCCTGCGACAGTGCAGGCACATAGAGGGCCTCTGGCACTCCTGCGACAGTGCGGCACATAGAGGGCCTCTAGCACTACTCCCTGGGGTTTCTCCTGGTCCCGAGGTTGCCAGGGCCCAGGGCCTGGTGTCAGGCCCCTTTGTGGGCCTCTCGTCACATGCCCTTCTGTGATGCTCTCCCCCAGAAGGGCTCGGTCCCCACTTCTGCCTTAATGGCCCAAGTCCTTGACAGCCCCCACTCAGGACCCACAGGAGCTGGCTCTGGTCCCCAGCCCCACTCCGGCCCCAGCCTCCATGTGTTCCCCGCCTCCTCTTCCTCCTCTCCAGTCTCAGTAAATGGCCTCTCTCCCTCCCATCACCCACAGGTCATCCAGCCGCAATCTGAGAGGTGCCCCATCCCTCCCATCTCCTTCACCTGAAGCAAAGCCACATGGACCAGCGCCTCCCCTCCTCTCACAAGCCAGCACCCCCGCCCCAGCCCACATGATCCCCGCTGGACTCGACGGGGCTGTGAGAATTCAGAGACGAACACTGTATGACACGTGTAGTGATGCTGAAAATACCAAGCCCACAAGCGAGCGAGCTCTCCGGCCGCAGTGAGGCGTGTGCAACAGCTCACACTCAGAAGCCCTGCAGGCAC